CATTTTCTTCGTGCAACATATCCACAGCCCTGGTGATAAATATAGTTTACGGCATATTTTAAATGTCATGTATAGTTGATTTATTCCTACATCAAGTATTAATTGACATAAAACCAAACATTTCGCTATTTAAAAAATTGCATATTGTTATAATATTAATCTCATAAAATTTTATGAAAAGATTTACAGTAAAATAAATAACCATAATATTATCTTAGACATCTCCATGTACCGTCGAAATCGTCTATCTACATGTATGGCGTAGTTAAGACAGTATTTTTACCCTGCAGTAACATAGTGGAGATTTTTCTTTACCATCACTTACGGTAGAAACCCATCACTCGCATCTTTCGTCCCTCGTGACCTTGATCAGAAAATTCGGAATAACGACTGTCACCATCTCTCGTGATAGACAGATGTTGTAGTAAACATAGAAGTATTTTTACTGTTTCTCTACCACTAGTTTCCCACTACATCAGTACCTACACTAAGCCCCTCGACAATAACTATACGTACATCGCCCCAACGTCTTTCTTCACTCTTAGTTTTGATGTATACAAGAGTATACATTTTTACGTAAGTTATGAATTTTATTCCTATTTTTTTTTTTTTTTTTAAACATAATATTTAAAAACAAAATAAATAACCATTATAGATACATTATTAGTAAACATAATTTATAATATTGTTAAGTGATTTATAATCTTATAAGTTCTATATTTGCTTAATAAACATTAACTGTTTTTATTTTTCATTCCATATTCAATTATTTTTTTAAATTTTTTTTTAAGAATATTTTGAAGTTCCTAGGATTTTAATCATTGTATAGTATTGTGAAGTATCTTATAGTATTAAAAATATCCACTAATATCTACAAATTTACAATGAGCGTATATGAAGTCATTAATGATTACAAAATTCAGTATTTGATATTTATTTGCGCAAATAATAATATATAATATAAATTTAAGAATAATTGATTTACTGTTTCTAAACATATAAAATTTATGAAAAAAAACTTAAAATGCAGTAATCGATTTGTGTTTATCAAACAATGTTATATTAAGTTTATTTTCTATAAAGTTACGTATCCATTATTCAGTTATTTTATTACAATTTTCCCTATCCAATCTTTTGATAGTTATAAAAAAATTGTATCATGATCCTTGTTTACACTATGATAATAATGGAGTTGGATAATATAGATTTTAGAAACCATTAAAATTGTACACCGTGGTAATTAAATTTAATAACACACAACTGTTTAACATAAAAATAACCAATACAACTTTTTATCATTCATTAAATAAAAGTAATCTTTAATTCTCACTTTTCATACGTGGTAATCGCAATGAACATTGAAGGGGTTCACTATTTCCTAATTTAAGTTTATATAATACTAGTATCTTAAATTTTTTAGAATAAATTATCAGTCACCACTAATATCACAATTGGAAATTATAACTAAAATTATAGTTGGTTTGAAATTTCGTCAAAGCTTTTAATTTTATTAATATTGATCTGATATGTTATAAAATACTCAATTATATGCGGATCATTATATTTCACATTAGGTAATACCATTTTTAATCATGGTTAATATGTTTTCAACACAACACAAAAAAAAAAAAAATCATAATTCATTTTCTTAATACTTTTTTTAATACTATTCGAAAAACACATTTCTTTTTATAATTAAAACTAAATACAGCTCATTTCAGGGATATAATATGTATTCATAGTAGGACGACATTATTAAACCTTTTAAAATATTATTGTTTATAAATCTTAATAATATCATTAACTATGAAAAACTATTAATTGTATTCAATTTGTCATTATACTTCGTAGTAAATGTTTATGTTTTGTTATTTAAATAGTTTAATTTACTTAATTCGTTCTGTTATAAAGTAATAATTTTCTTGACACTACTAAATGAATTAATTTATTATGGTAATAGTTAGATGATAGTGCTTCATTAAAATATTGGGACTTTAGATTAACATTTAATAAATTTTTAAGTATAATCATACTTTTACATGTGTATAAGCACTAAAATGACTTATTTTTATTATTCTTATTGTGTTCAAAGCAGGGCTTGCAAAGGTTATAATTAAATTATGATTATAGCATAACATTTAACAAAAAACGATTGAAATTTGTAAACGTAATTATAATAGAAAACGATAAACATAAATAATTATATAACTCAAAACAAAACATAACACAAAACGCTATATATAATATATCATGTTGAATCAATAGTGTCAAATAACGTTTAAGAAACTACTGAAAATGATACTAAAAAACAAGATGGTGATATACGTATTATACTGTAAAGCGCAGTTTGGAATCAACTTATAAAAAATAAGTGAACACAACATGTTAACCAACTTTTAAATTAAGTAATTCTTATTATGCTTAATACTCTTTATGTGAAATGTATTGCGTTTTTACAGAATTAGAATTAACATACTAACTCAGCATTCTATACTCCATTGTTAATTGTTTCCACTTTTATTTGTATGTATCACTATTACATTTCTATTTTGAAACTACAATATATATTATTTCTTTTATAATCTACAACCAAATATATTGACAATTAATTGAGTGAGTATAAATATAATATTGTGAAACACATTTATTAATTTAATATTTTAAATTTATGTACATATTGTACATTTTGTCATAGTTTTTATATATTTTCCAAATTTAAATAAAAATATACATAATTAAAAAATAAAAATACAGTACTGAATAATTGTTTCAGCAATATTAATATTAATTTGAATTACTAATAATAACAATTATAAAAAATAAAATAAAATTATATAAATATTAGTACGAACTGCATGTGATTTACATTTTTCTAAAAGAATAAATAGTACAAGTATTTAGTGTAAAATAATCACTCTATAATTTTTATATTCCATATTATATCTACAATATAATATAAATGTAATATATTTAATATTTATATTGAAAAATAATACATTAAAATAACAATAGTTTCCTTTTGATGACGAATAGCTTGACCACTACTTTTTATCAAAACTTTTGTCCGAATATTTTAATGGGCGTATTTATATTTGGTGACATAATTTTTCTTAACCATATTCTATATATAAATCATACTACAATAATTTTTAGCATACGCCTTATATTAATTTGCACGTTTAATATTTTATAATGACTATGATTAGGTGAGTATTTACTTTGAGTTAAACTATTTATGAAATTTAACTCTTCTTATCATATAAAATATAATAAAAATTATAACTAAGATTATTAATTTTAAAAATTATTAGCTTAAAACAATAAATAAAACTCGTCAGTTATGTGTTTATTATTTAAATTAAATGCGTCTCAATTGTATAAAAAATGTACCACATAATAATACAAATTTCAAAAACCCAAAAACTTTCTTGGAATACAAATGCTTTTGATACCATTACGCGTAGGAGAAACATTTTATTTTTCAATATTCTTGTGAATTCTTTTCTTTACCAAGGGTATTTTAAAAGAAAAATAGCACTTTTCAAGTTAGACCTGTACTGGTTTAATAGCAATAGTAATAAACAATGTATAATATTGTGAACCTAATCTTTTAATTTTGATTTACTAAGCAATACGTAATTATGATTATTACTATTCCTTATAAAATGATTGAAAATAACTGAAAATCTATGCCAATTAAACTAATTTACAAAGTAAAATATGTCATTTTTTTTATTTTTAAATCTATGAATTTCAACAAATGCATGCTTAAATAGTTTGTATTACTATACGTTTTTAATGAAACATAATATAAACAATTAATACTTTTGGTTAATTAACATTAAATTATTGAATTAATAAATTTTAATTAAAATCAAAAGTTTTCTATTACCCAGAAAATCACGTACTTACCTAATATAATTCAAATTCAATATATTATATTTATGGAAATTTCAAACTGAATAATTTTGAACCAAACTTATGTTGCGGAAATCCATGATAATATTTTCGCCTTTTACTGCAGGTTTTTTTTTGGTACACATAACCAGTAAAATATTTAACCTTTAAAAATGCACGCATTATGGATGGTCAGCGTTTGAGTTAATATATATTATTTTTTGTAGTAATTACATCCAAATTAATAAACTGCATACTATTTACCACTTAATCGTGTGAAAAATCAATAGTTTTCATTCTATTTTTCCTACATGAAATTAAAAAAGTTTAAACTTAATTTTGATGAACGCTAAGGCCTAGAAAGCTTAAATTATTCTACTTTTCATTGATAAACGACGTGGCTTATGATACGACTCTATTGCATCATGCAATGTAAACTTTTATCAAAATAAAGAAGGACTATTTAATTTAATTAATTGATAATATTTAAATTAAAAAAAAATATGAAATTCTTGACATGGTTTATTTTTATGTTGTGTATAAAAATAATGATGATGATAATAATGTTGTGGAATAGCAAAAGAAAAAAAATAATCACTAATATTATCGACTGTTATCAAATATATTGTCGTTTTTAATACCTTGGTTACGCGTGCTTGTTATTATAATAATATTATTATTCCAAAGGGTTAACAAGATCGCATCGTTCGTCTTTTGTGAAACGGTACAGATTTATAGCATAAACACACTTCTATATGGTATTGTTATTTCTACCCTTTTGATGATGGTGGTTTACCCATATTATTATATATTAATGCACTTTTGCAACGCCCCTAAGTGCATTAGTGAAATACTTGTGGTTGTAGTTAAAATAAAGAGATGAAACTCAAGCGGATTACACTATCAAATCACGTCCAATGACAAAACAAATAAATATACATAAAGCTATATAATATAATAAAAATAATATACATTTTAAGTTATATATCATATTTGTTAAATATCTTTTGTGTAATGTATAGCAATTACACTGTATGCCTTTTTGCATTTTTCGTACATAATTATTTATTGATATAATAATATGTGTATATGTGTGTATGTAGGAAAACCGGACGTGATGGAAATCCGCAGTTCTCGGCCAACACGGAAACGGCGCACCAGTTCCAGGAGTATACGTATAAGAAAATTACACCGTGCGATTTTTGTTCACAAGTGCTCAGAGGTAAATTTTAATAATCTATGTAACTTTTTTTTCTAAATGATTTTCTGTTAGTTTGTCGTTTTAGAAATAAAAATAGGAACTTTTAAGTCTTGCGGTAAGTTAAATAGACTTTTCTCGCATGTAGTTTACTTTTACACTACATCTTTCCATCCGAAATGTTGTGAAATTTATCATAAATTAATTTCTCTCATAATAATAATAACGATCATTTAGACAAGATATGATTTACCGTATATCCTATTATGCATACGACACTACAGATATGGTGTATCACAATTGCCTATTCGTAATGCCGTGTTACTACCGTTTCGTTAAGTATTTAAACGCATTACAAAATATAACGCGTCCATGTTATTTGAAAAAAAGACACTTTTTTTGATAATATCATCTCATTAGGATTGAAGAAGTTATTCGTTTTGTGTTTTGTTCACTTGACCGTCATCAATAATAATATTATGCTATAATACCGTAAACGCAAGCAACTATTATAACAGTAACATGTAATTTGATATATCGTTGTTTACTTATCAAATATGCTTTGTAGTTATAGTAACACCAAAAAATATTCCTTCAAAATACTTTAAGATTTAGTTATATGTTTAGTTGTAATTAATCATTATTTAGCATGCCTTATATATTTAATACTTTATAATATATAATAATAAACAAAACCCACAGAGTTAAGTGACTACTTTTACACAATTAGAGTATATTCCAAATATTTGTCTGCGGTATTATATTATAATATTATTCAAAGCGTTGTAACAAAGTATATTATAATTTAATACACATAATATTATAATATTGATTACGTGTATAACGTTGTGGTTATATTATCGAATTGATTACAAAGCGGGTTAACCAAACATTGTAAATTTCATAAATTAGTTTTTCATAATATTATATACCACATCATAAAAGTTATTTTTGGTGTTTAACAAACGATTAAATTATGTATACAGAGTGATTAATATCTTATCGTAACTGGTTGGAATCAACTCAAGAGTTGAATATGTGTTTTCGAAAGGTCTTTCACCGCAAACTCGAAATTACACACTCAAGACAAGTTCTATAACTAAAATTCGATAAGTCATTATTAAATTGTAATTAATAGGGCTTAATAAACAGTGTCATTAGTGTAATTTATAATATTAAAACGAAAGTAAAATTATTATAAAGGTGGTATTTCGAACAAATGCGTTGAATTTTTTTATGTACAATAATAAAATAATCATATAGAATTAAAATTTATTAATGCTTAAAAATTACGATAATTTCGTTAAAACAACGTTTGTATAATATGTTGTGCATATATCGTAGATATGTATGTTCGTCTATCAAAAATTTTTTATCTATAATGCCAGTAGCATTTTATTTTTTCAAATAATAGTATCTCTAAAAATATAAACCATATTTTCTATCTTACCACTACAGTAGTTCTGTACCTTATCGGACTTAAATCATATGCAACTTTTTCATCTACCAGTGCTGAATTGGTCAACACGCTTTAAAAAATATTATTCGAATAAAAACCTCTAAATATTACCTGTATTCGTTTAAATCTGGTCATTTTGCATTATTTCATTATTTATAGAGTTATAAATAGCTTAACTCAACCTATCGATTACATTGGTACCATGAATCTACATCGAAAACAATATATATTTTATATTATAATACATTGGATCTATGTGGAAAAAAAATAATTTTTCAAATTCAATGTCAAGTTTGTCATCAGCAAATGTCACGAGAAAAAAATTCTTTAAAAGTATAGAACCAAAATACTTGTACAATAATATATTATATAATACGTTCTACCTTTCCCATTTGTTTATTATACCCCCTTGTATTAATTGCATTTTTATACTCTGTTCGGCCATTACTAGTTTTAAGACTGATTTTAAGAAAAATACGTAATTATACTTCTTATACATTATGTAGCAAATTCATTGATTTCTCAAAAAAAAATAAATACTTCTTGGAATTTAGTGTTCTCGCATCGTATTGTATCAGGACTGATCAGGACTGTAAAATTATTCGTTTTATTTTTTTATCCCCACGTTTTAATAAATTAAGATATCTATCAAAACACTTGTTTAAGGGCTCTAAGCAATCTCAAGACTATCAATAAATACACCAAATATATACACAGCACATGTTATAATTTATAAATACTATATTGTTATGACTTATTTTTACACCTTATTGTAAATATATACAATAGTGGTTTTGGTGGAAATAATGTTATGGCACGATATTTACCTCCGACATATATATATACATATATATATGTATTATACATTCTGAATTATATAGCAGTATTTTCTATTCGATTCACGTATTCAACTTGGTGGCGGGTGGCAGCATTGGAAGCCCTAATCGAATCCAATTTGTATATCACCCTCCACAGTCGTCAAGATCTGTGCCAGAAGCCCCGAAAATCTAATTTTGTTTACACACTTGTCACTCTGTCCACCTTCACCGCACCATCAGGTGCCTAAACGAGAAAGTCTAGTGATGTGTGTATGTTTGAGACTAAGAGAGGAGGAGGAAAAATTCGCGTGGAGTATGTTTACTTCATGACCATGGCTGATTGTATTAAATAAAGTAAAAGCAACATGAGTGACGTTACATTTATTTATTTTTTTTTGAAAAACATAATCTAGTCATCAATGATTGCAGTCGTACGATGACATTATTTTTTTTTTATATAAAATAAAAAGTTGTATAATTGAATAATTACTTACATGTTAATTTGTACGCATAAATTGAGAAAAATATTTCCCCAACCACGATTTAAATAATATTTTGATATTTGTGCAATACTGTAATTTATTACCATTATAGCGTACCATTCTTTTAATAAATTTAAAACCACATAAAAATATTGAAATTCATGCAATGAACACAATTATTGAACACTAAATTCATAAAATTCGTATAGATACAACTAACGCACTCTTATCTTCTACAAATGATAATGATATTCTTTTATTTTTTCGCACTCTGTTGTCTCAACTTATTTTTATATAATTTATCAAATTAATACTACTAAAATAGTAAAATTTTTAAGAATATTAAAATATAAATTATTTTCTCTTTATTGTCTTAGCTTAATTGCTTCGTTGGTATCATCATTATTTAAATTAAAATTTTAATGTTTAAAACAAAATTCTTATAACTTATAAGTTATAATATTTATCATGCTTAATATAAAAACAATATATTTTCACTCGTTTTTGCTCATTTATCAATTGCTCTTCAGTAGCGCATTCTACTTTTACGTCACTTTATTCAATTTTTGATCTCTTTTACATTCAGTTCCCATTTCACTGCGGTGTTTTTACACTCATTGTATGTATGCCCTCAAACAGTATTATATATATATTTTATATATAATATTCATAAATGTTAGAATTCACGGTATCGTTGTTAGTAGTATTATGTAATCCGATACTCTCAATCCATATGATTTGCGCGAAATCCAATATATTTTTACTGGAATATTGTAAATCAATGTCCCACATGCATATTTATAGTGTTATGAAGAAACGCTGTTAACGACGATGAAATTTGAATGTATATAATAATATCGAGTTTGGGAAAAATATGACACTCTATACACATTTATGCTACTGTACGAGTAAATTGAATAATTTTGCTTTTCCACACGCTTTATTTATCGTCAACTCCCCGCTAAAATGTATGTAACCTTACCACAAGCAATTTTGCTTGAATCTAGATTTTGAGCTACGATGACCTGTTTAAAATGAAATCGTCCCTTTATAGAATTTCAAAAATATCCCAATAGGACGGCGACATTTGTCTAGTAATTGTGTTGTATATAAATTCGTTTTTTTTTGCTTTATATAGATATATAAACATCGCAGACTAAAAATATTTATATTTTAAGATAACAAAAATAATATTTAACTACGATATCAACAGACTAATAAAATTCTATAGTATTTAATCTAAAATTTGTCTGAATGGTCTTCATTGTGATAATGGGAGAATTAAAGAGAATCGAAATTAAATTAAAGGGTATTCGCATGAACATAATCTGCATTAATGTTCATAATTCAATTGTATATTCACAACAAATTTCAATATAAAAGCTTACAAAAAAGAGTACCTATATTTATAATCTTAAATAGACAATTTAGTATTTTCTAAGTATTAAATAATTACGGTATATATTTAAATATCTGATACCTAACAGTTGTTATTCGTATCACATGATTATATAAAGTTATGTATGAGCTGAATGAATATTATATATATCACTTATGAAAATTTTCAAATTAATAAAATATAACTATTATACCGTAGCCGCGTGCGACTCATCTGATGTTACGGTGTGACTTGATAATTTAAAATAATTATAAAAAAAATATATACAATTATAATCGCATATAGCACATAATAAATAATATACATGTAATTCTCAAATGCAGTTAATTATAAAAATTAATCTGATAAATAAAAATATAAAACATCTTTTATCTATAATAAAGTGGATTGGCAAAAATTAAATTTTACAGTATTAAAAATCAAAACTCGTATTATTTATTATTTTTCTTTTTTATTAGATGAACTCTATTACTAAGGGACTACCCTACTATTGATCTTTCCACAATGTTTTAAATGTTTTATTAAAATTTTATCGGTTCTCTTACTGATGTGTAATCTTTAATCAAGAGCTAAGCTTATAAATATATACAGTATATTTATAGTATACGTGATTTAAATAAAAATATGTTCAACTCTTCATTAACATATTATATTTTAATATACTATAATATCATGATATATTTTAATCGTAATGTCATTTAATTAAGTAAAACAGTTTTAATATTTATATATATATATATATATATATATGAATATATAGATTTTATTGATAATATAAAATAGTTAGATTATAACGTTTGATAAAAGTAGAAAATAATAAATTCAATAAATTAGAAGAATCATAATCTCTTCTTCGTAATATATCAACAAAAAAAAAAAAAATTCTGTCGAATAATGTTTAAGAATTTTAATATTGTTAATAGTTCAAACGTATAAAATAACAACAAAATAATGCAATTTACAATTTTTAATAATTTATTTCTTCAAGTAACATAAAGGTTTATAAAATATACCTACCTAATAATAAGGTCTACAAAATATACCTACCTAATAATCGTTTAAATTAACTTTTTTTCAATGTTACATAGGTATTAGAACAAGAACATGTTTATTATTTTAACAATTTTTAATTATTAAATACACACATTGCCTAAAATATGTATGGGACCATTTGAAATGAGTAAAATTCCATTTACTATAATTAACTATGATACAGAGAATATGTGTTTTAAATAATATTCAAACATTTGTTTTTGAATATTTTTTGAAAAAAAATTTAACAAAAAATACATTTTTTCGTTATTTATCAAATTAATAAAGTAATACTTCATAAATCTTATTTTTATTCAATTATTAATTATCTTGGTTCTTTTTATAAACTACACATTACAGAACTTTTAAAATAACTCTACAAAAAAAAATTAGTTAAAAATAACAAATTCATTGAGCTATACATAATATTCCTTGAAAATTCTATATTTATGTTGTTCATTTAAATACTTTCACAATACTAAAACATTAAACTTAAGTCCAAGGATTCTTGCAATGTATCCCCTGATCACATTTTCTCGTGCTTATATGACATTAGTAAAAATCAAAAATTTTCGTTTTGATTTTTAATAACAAATTTTTTTTTTATTTATTTTAGTTTTAAATAGACAGTTTGTAACTTTTTGTCATAAATAAATTATAAATTAAAAATTACGATACTTAGAAAAAAAGTAGTTCAACTTATTAACAATGTTTATTTGGTAATTTATGTTTTGTATTTTTTTTTTTTTTTTAAAGCTTACCGCGAACGATATTATGATAATATTTTGTATAAATACGTCTTAATTGTTACAATTATTGTTATTTGCAAAATTATTTTATTTTATCATAACGCAATGTAGTACCATAAATTCTGCGTTAGACGTATTGTACCTGTGTAGTATAGATCATACACAAAAAGGTAAACGTCGATTTTTTTTTTTTTTATAATGAACACGATTGCGCACATAATTGGCATGGTTAAGAGAACATAAAAGTAATGTAAATATACCACCTGTTGTATCGTATTTTAGTTCTGACGATTCCATGGCATAGCACCAGGTAATAATAATTATATCATAGGTAAACAATTTAATAGGCATTAAAACACTAATAAACCCATTGTCACTTCTGTAAATATACTTAACAGTAGATATACTAGTCGTGCATTAAGTAACATAGAATATCGTATGATGGTTATTACAATGTATTACTACACAAAACCATACACATTAAACGACTTCAGGATGTTGCATGGTTATACGTATGCACTAACAGCGGTTATAATAACACTTTAAAAAGCACGCAATTCGAAAATACTTAAAACACGCATACTTTGTAAAGAATGTCAAGGAGTCTGATATTAGTGGGTACATTAAGCCCATATAATAACAGTAATATATATATATATATATACTTATAAAAGCCGCAAGTATTGTACAAAAGTTTTATAAGAAAATGAGCAACATTTTTATCTCGTACACAAGATGTTATAAAAAATTTTAATCAAACTTTTAGTGTGTTAAGCCAAAAAAAAAAAAGGTGTTAGATAGATACAATGTAATCAATTTCTCTTCCCCCACCCATCAATAATTCAACATTGTAAAACCTGCTAATAGTAATAATTAAATCACGTCAATGGAAAAATAAATAATTTTTTAATCTAAAACTAAAATAATCTCTTTGAACTATTATCATTTAAAACACTACTTGTCGTACGAATATTTTCGTTTACACGTGTATCATTATACAAACTCTCGTTTAAATGAAAGATTAACGTTTAATGTTGAGACAACACGGTCACTATGGACCGGCATCCTGAATGAAAATACGCTGTTTTAAATATTACGTCTTTCCCTGTATTTTTAAGAATTTATAGTTATGTACACAGAGCAGGGAAGCTGGAGTCACGGGTGCGATGGCCGGTCTACAGAGACGGACCGTCGCGGTGATAACCCGGCGCGACCGGCAGTTGCTCGGTCTTAATTACAATAGTGGGAGAAGTGTTGCGGGTACGGGCGTTCGCATTCGTAGCAGGGACAGGGTCAGTAACTTACAGCGCGTGACTCGCAGGAAGCGGCTTCTGTGATACACTGGACCCGGCGTTTTGACACAACTTAATCAAGTAGCTTGAAGGGGAACAGAAAGACGGTGTAGGTATCCGGCCGATGGTGTTGCCCGTCGGAGTTTGATGACTGTTGGGATCCTGATACCTCGAGCGGACGATTATTCAATCGTCGTTCGATTGCGGGCGTCGTGGCGCGTTGATCACCGGGTCACCGTTGACTGTTGGTCGAGGTGACTCGTAAATCGTCGGTTCCGTGTAGACCGTTGGTGGTAATTTTCGTCGTAGCTCGTAGTCATCGTGTATTCACAGGCTATCGATTGCTGTCAGCGTCCCTCGTAGATCCGAGATCGTCGGGTCCGGGTAGACCGCCAGTAGCTGTAGTCGTTGTGGCTCGTTGCCGTTGGGTCTTTGCCGACTATCGGCGAACTTGGCTTGTAGTCGTCGAGATTGAAAAGTCGTCTTATATTCGATCCTTTGGTAGTTTATTGGCTTAATGATGGCTGAATGATTGATTGAAGACTGATTCTGATATTTAATTATGTTCAGTATGTAAGGTGATTTCCGTACCGACTAGTAAACCACGTGTTGCCGTCGTGTACGATTATGTTTATGTTCGGTACGGGAAGTGGTGTCGCTCACACAGTTCTAGGGCTGTATGTGTGGAGGTGGTGTCATTAGATACGTGACGGCCCCCCCTACATGTAGCCCTAGTTGTTATCGACGTGGGATAATTTGAGGCTCCGTAATGTGAGCGCGAAGTTGTCCTCGTGGTGTGTGCAGGCATATCGGGCTGTGATTGGTGGCTCTGAAAAGGACCGTTTTGTGTCGTGTGACGGCGTACCGTTACAATGTATAGCTAAAAAAGTTTAGATTTATGCCATCATAAAATAGTTTAAAAATATTTTTTACTTCTGATAAAATAAAATAAAAACATGATTAAATATAAATAAAATATATGTATTGTATAGTTATTTAAAACAATAGTCTTTGTCAATTCTACTCACAACATGTATAAATCCAAAATTCGTTTTGGTTTCATAAAAAATACTAAATGTATAAAAATCAAATCAAATTATGAAATCACAATTATGAACTTTGGTCAATATTTAAAACTGCTATTTTTCGTTATTAATTTTGTATGTATAATTTTTCAAAATAAATATTTTTCCCAATATCGTGAATTCCTTTCCGGCTACAATAAGCTACATTATGTTCAATTTTAAAATGAAATAAAATTAACAAACTACAATTTAATTTCAAGCAAAAAAGATAAATACTAAATAGATCAAGATAATAAATTGCACCTTTGACATTTGATGAAAATACAAACGTATAAGTGATCAATTTTTAAAGTAAAACAAAATGATTTAAGCAATTATGATAACGCAGTTATGTTATATTAAAACGAGTATATAAATATATAATTGGGGAATAAATCAAAAAAAAATCATATTTATGATAACATTTTGAGTATAAAGACATATTATACTTAATAGATAAAAATTATTGAAAAACAGGGCTGCTCGAATACGTTGTTTTAAAAATAAATTTCCTTTTAAAATATATACTGCCTATTATCACTGTGCATGCATGTACGGGCAAGTTTAAACATTGTAAATCTTTATATTAAATAGGTATCTATTTGTTATCTCTGTTATTATTTAATATGTAAATAGTCTTTATGTAAAGTTTAAATTTGTAAATTTATGTACTGTATTTGAGTTCTCATTTGCATTTATATTAATAAAAAAAATAATTATTTCATATACGTGTGGTTAGGTTGAGAAATTTATTTTCCCTTAAATTTATGAACAGAAGGTATTTCATATCATATTATTATTTAAAACAATTTTTTTCTTGATTTTTGAGATCGTTTTCCAGATTTTTAATACAATGATTAAAACAGTGGTTAACTTTTGACTTTTAAATTTTAAATTAACATATTTAACCTACTTTGCAGTATTTAACACGCGTTGCCCGCGTAAACAAAATTAACAATTAGGTCTCAATGTCGGGTTCTCGTGTTCATAATTTTATCTACCCTTAAATGAACACAAAACTTATATAAAATGATCGTATATTATTGTAATATTAAAAAAAAAAAAAAACAAAAAGCAGTACAAAGGTTTCTATTTAATAATAATATTAAGCCAGCGATTTAATATCTGATACCATATCATAACGTACCTATTTGTAATAATAATGCAACTCATGATTTCGTAGGGCACACCAGGCAAGGTCTTAAATGTCGGGTGTGTAAGATGAACGTGCACTTGGACTGCCAGGAGAAAGTTACCACCCGGTGTCAGGTTAAGTCACGGCTATTGCGTCGTCAAAAGTCAACGTCTGAAATCGAGACGAAGATGGCGGCAATGAACATGGTTGCCCGCGACGATGACGAAGGTAAGCCATAACATTTCTTTTGTACTTGTCCAAACAATAATAATAATATAATCAAATATTCACAATAATAATGGTATTTTTACATTATTATAATTATTATCATAACGTTATATTATTATATTGACCATGCCTCGTATCGAAATAATATTACAAGGACGCACGTATAATGATTATATGACACACGTATGTTATTGATTACTTATAGGTATAGGTGAAACAAGAAGATATAATAACCATGTTTAAATTAAATTAAAGTGTGAAATCGTCAACACTTTCAGATTCTTACTGTAATTAATTAATTTAACGTCATATTTTTTTTTTTATTTTTTTTAATATTATGTAAAAAATTTATAAGAATCATATATGCAGTACATTGTTAAGCGATCTCAGACTTTTTGGCTTTCACATTTTACTACATATGCGTGTGCATATAACCCTTATACTGTGTATACGTCTGTATAATATTATATACACTACGCGTATATATATATATATATGTGTGTGTGTGTTATACACGTTCAAAAATACCATCGATGTACATATTGTTATTATTATTATTATGACTATAATATATATATATTATATATACACCCCACTCACAAAACAATGAAGTGTTATTATTTTTATTTTCATTTTTTTTCATTATTATTATTATTTAATACTTATTATTACTAAAAAATTCAGCTTTCCAAAGTCGTTGTGTACATACAATTATATGTACATATACGTTTTTACGTAGTAGGGTTGTAAATAACGATGAAATATATATATATATATTATTCTTACGGACTTTTTATCATTATTTCCTGGTTTTATTTTAATTATTTTTTTTTTGTTTTTGTAAAAAACCCATGCACGCTGTTCGATTTGATTGATGTGTTTATAAATATATTTTTTTATATTTTAAACGTAATATTGTTTATTTTTTTTTTTTTTTTTTATATATACATCATATAAAAATACTTATTACCTATTAAGATAGGAAATTCCTAACATTCAACGTGTTTAACGAATGTAAGATGAAATGTTTACTGTTTACTTATTCTCTAAAATCTTTATCATTACCACGATCATATCATCGACCATCGTACAAAAATTAACAAATACCCAAAATATTATTATAAAAATAATATTAGTAAATCAAGTACCTTATCGTAGTTATACATGTATATAATGTTATGTTGCTTTGCGTACTAATAAAATACAAAATATTAATTTTATAATATTTTAATGATATAATATACTATATATAACCCATAAACGGTTCGCTGTGGGGCAGCTTCAACTGTATACGTTTTGCATTCAGTACACTTCTAATATATACTATCTGTTTGCTCAATCCATTATGTAAGATTACATTATCATTTTACCCTTTCCTAAATTGATGTCTATCGCCACTGATCGGGTCCATCGCGTTCGATGATGATGGTGTATAATATATGAGTATTATTTTCAAAAATTCAATTTCACAGTTCAAGTTATTTTAATATTTTATTTATATCTAACAATAATGTCTTAAGCGAATGTAGTTTTTATGAATTAAACAAATATTAAAACAGTCTAGTGATAAACAGAAATTTGCACCGCCACTTCGTGACATATCCTATTCGTGGATATTTTATAACAATAGTACCTAACACCTTAACTGAGTGTTTCTGATAAATTAATCAAAAGTATTGCAGTATTTTGTAAACCAAATAATATTCGTTAATTAAAATTGAATGGTTTAGATTATATGTTTAAATTTAAATTAAATATTTAAAAAATCCATCATCGCATCACGGAATAATTTGAAACAAACTGATAACAAAAAGTTTACGCAAGACACATTATATTATTATGTTTTTGTATATGCGTATTTATGTTTATTAATATTTAATATTTAGTTGTATATAATTATAATACTCGTTATATTCCTATCAACATCTTTGACGCATTCTACTCTAAATAAACAGATTAACCTATTAAGTGGCGGTTCAGGGCGGTATGGGGAGGTCTAATCTCTGTTTCACTATACGAGTATCTATTGGTTATTATATTATAACTATCTTAAATGATTATTTTACAATATTTAAGTTAAAACGTATAAATTACAGCTTCAATTCAACACTGGTAATTTGTTTTTTTTTATTTTAAAATATTCTCAATTAACACTAATTGCTTTAAGTATTATAGAATGCATAACAAATAATAAAGGGGTCAAACGCAAAAATATACAAATGTATCAAGAGAGTTTGTGACTTTTCTTTTCAAGTCCCATAAGATTTTTAATTTTGTTATTAAATATCTCTTCCATATTTGTTCGCACCTCGAAACAAATTATATTTTTGCTCATTATTAAAAACACACCACGTTTTTATACATTGTATTTGCTTAATTTATTACATAGATGTCAAATGTAAATTATAATTTAAAGTACATAAATATTTTGAAACATTTTTAACTTCTTATTCTTTTGTTTTTTTCATGTCGTTCAGACCCCAATCATCTAAAAAACTACGACTGCTGCCGATTTGACATTTACCAGGTGTAGATAATTTTTATCACAAGTTGTCCCTATTAGCAAGAATTTCAATAATTGTTCCATTGTCTATGTATCACCACATTGCAGTTAGTATTTCTTTCTTCTCTTAACTTTTTTCATTCTTAAGTATAGTTTTGTACTACCTAACTTCTGTTCTCAAGCGATGTATTGCTTTAAATTCTATCCATTCCCAATCCTTTTATGTAAGCATTTTTTTTTTTTTTTTTTATTCCTCTAGTGGTGTTTTATACCTACTCTTTTCTTCCATCTGTCAATTTTTTCTTTTGCTGGTAAATCTTTTATTGGTTGGATCATAATAAGGAAACTTTTCCTTAATTTAAGTTACTATATAGATGGGTTCTTTACATACAGTCTTTAAGTTACTAACAAATAATAGGGATGTTGCGTTTTTTTGTATTTGTTGTGTCAGCGAGCCTCTTATCAAGCCTATCGAAGTTGTTGTCGATCTCACGATCCTCCGGAATCTTAGAAGTGATGGAAGAGCTTAAGTTGTAATAAATTAAATAACAAATAATAACATTTATATGATATATGTATATATATATATATTATAACAATATAAACAGAGCACCACACATGAGCATGTGTATATAAATGTATATTATGGGGGGGAGGGACAGAGAACACCGCACTGAGAAGAACTGGATATCGACAATGATCTTCGTTCTTGTAAAGCTGATCTGCTTCCCTTTGTTGAGATTTTGATGATTTCTGTACTGGAACCAACTACGTGGGTGACGTGAAGCACCGGACCGTTGCACACGCAGATACAAAAAACGCACACATATATATACGTTACTGATGATGAGCTAAGCACGAAAGTACGAGTGTACAATAGAATCGGAACAGATTATTAATATTTAAACACTAATAGAGCAAATTGCCGAAACATATGCAAACTAATAGAGCAATATTTTAATGAGCACGAAAACACGTAATTCGTAACGAACAACGGAACAGAAGACAAAGACGGTAGCGGCAGCGTCCGCGTCATTGCCCGGAACAGGGCGGCGGGCGCGACAGAGTAGTCAACCTCGCGAGTGACAAAACGCGGTCGTAAGATCCGGGGAAACATAAATTAGGTACATTGGACACAAGAATCGAACATACTCCTCCCCTTTCAAATACCCGTTACCTATCAAAGCGAGTTCAATTTTCAGAGCTGAAGAGCTGGCTATTTAACCGATATACTGAGCAGTTGTGCAGATGAACGGAGCGATTGAGTGGATAGACTGAGCAGTTGAAAAATTAACAGAGTAGTTAAACAGATGAACTTAGCAATTACCAACAGAACGGTGAATGGGATATTACAAAGAGACAACATTGGTCGTTGACCAGTACATTATTATTACATTTTTTTTAATAGATCAACTAATAAAAAAATAGACAACATAAATATATATGTTTGAGCATGAGCAAGTCTTATAAATTAAAAAAATAAAAACAATCGTTAATAATCACAAATTTTAAGTTCTAGCATGAACTATAACAAAATTTTCTTTTTTTTTGTATATAAACAAATATAATATAAACATCGCTTATTTAACAACCTTAACATCTAAAGATAATATCTTCTACTAAGGTCCCGAAGGCCGAACAACCAATGAGATCCGTGGTAGCAGAGCTGATGACATCGCAGATAAACGATAGTACCACGAACATAATTATAGCACGGCAGATGTAAGGTGAAAGAATGAGCGGACTTTATTTCATCTACGGATTAGTAGGTAGAGGCACCAGCTTCACTACTGGTCTAGTGAGTACCTTTTGAATAGTAAGGACTTTAGCCACCCGAATTATATAGTCTGAACCCGGGTAAACTTTTACGACTCTAACTTAAGACCAGGAAAAGGGTAAAGCGTCGCCAGTCTTAATAACGACCATAGTACCTACGTCCAGATTCTTACCCGACTTGATCCACTTCCCACGCGCTTGGAGAGTGTTCAAGTATCCTTACAATAAGTGTCCCAAAAAGAAGCAAAAAGATTGTTGGATGAGCTTCCAATGATTCTGCAGGAATCTTTGAGAATCGAGAAGGTCCGATTCTGGTATTGAAAGCAAACAGTCTACCGATTAAGAAGTGACCAGAAGTCAGATACTCCAAATCATTTGGGTCGAAGAAGCGGGAACAAGCGAACGCAAATTCAGTGCCACTTTCATTCTACACAGCATCGTAAACAGTTCTTCTAGAGTCAAAATCTGCGAAGACGTGGTATATATGAGCATCGACTTAGCCCACTTTACAGCAACCTCCCAAATTCCATCGAGATGGGGAGCACTAGGAGGATTGAAATGCCATTCGCATGGCAGATGAACAGTGACCTTTTTTTCTGTGGTCTGGATGATAGATTAACTGACGCAACTGTCTTGTAGCACCCATAAAATTAGTACCACAATCGGAATAAATAGAGGAAGGCATACCTTGACGATCAATGAACCTAACCAACGCTAACAA